TGGTGTTCTTCATTCAAGAGTTCTTGGCATTCTTCTGTCGTCAGATCCGTTTTAGGTTACATTACGAACTCTTCGATGACCTGTTTACCTGTTACGCCATATTGCCCAGCAACATTAGGCATCTTCTGCTCACTCTCTACCTTTGCTATTATACTCTCACCTTTTGAAAAGAAAAACAGACACAAAACTTAACGAGTGCCTACCCGACAATCTTGCGAATACACAAAAGAATTGTTTTGTCAGAAAAATAAAAGGCTGGAATTACAAGGGAGAATTTCAAAGTTTGGAGGAATACTATCCGATCGGTATATACTGGCTTGAGCGTTGATGTCGACGTCTCCCACACTCTGAAAAGTTTCAAATTGTTGCCCGAAGACAAGGGAAGACCAATCAGTATTCATTATTTTACGTCGCTTCTTCTTGTGTTTGTTCTGTGGGGTGTTCGTTATCTGATTATGTGTTCGTTGTCCGAACATAAAAATCCATCGCAAAAGTGTTCATTATCCGATCTGTTCGTTAACCGATCACCCACTGTACTTTATTAAAATGCATTTTATGAATAAAATTTAACATAATACACAGAATATATCTCACTATATTTTAAAATTACTTTTGGATGGTACATTGCAAAAGTTTTCTTCCAGAACCAGCAGAACTGTTTTTCAGAAAGTGTTGCTTTTTTTTGCAAATATGTTTCGTATGAAAAAAGCCAGTTTCCAGAATATGTATCAAAGGTCTTTTTTACCTTACATTTCCCAATTTTGAATTTTTGAATTTTCTATTTGAAGGCCTGGTTTTTGTGGCTGTTTCTTCTTCTGAGCCTCATTTGCATTGTCTAATTTAAGAGTAATTCTTGAATGTAATAGTTAGAACTCGAGTTGAAGTCACATCTTCATCTGACTCTGAGTCACTACTCAATTCTGGATTTTTGTCAGGAATATACTCATTTACATTGCTTTCAGATTTAGGAGTATTGTTTCTCTGATTCGTTTTTGGATAAATCTCAAAGATATGCAAAGCATTTTCTGAATCAAAAATTTTACTCAAGCAAAGAGGTGTTTTTTCACAGTGCTTGATGATTTATATCATTAATTCTGTCATTATATCAGTAAGTCATTAATGAAAAAACAACAAAATACATGTGTAAAAATATATATTAGCTACATTTTCATAAATTATTTTGTATCTTGTTTATTTCCTTACTATAATAAGCATAGAAAGTGGAGGCTAGATGAATATCTTATATACAGAGTCCAGTAATACTTTTCTTAATTTATTGCAAAGACTATAAATGATATTACTTTTATTTATATATCATTTTGAAGAGAAAACTCTGAATGCTTGTTTCTTATTACAAAGATTTGATGTCCAAACCAGGTGTGACTAAGCAGATGTTCACATGGCAATAAAATTTTTGCCAAATCCTTTACAATTTGTCCTCTAGACTATGGTGACCACTTCTTGAATCTTCTGCTTGAGTTTATCTACATCGTTGATAAAGGCAGTATGCTTACATGATCATTTATGTAGTTCCACCAGAAGTTACTGGGACTTCATGTGACTTCTTTTGCATACAATTACTATTATATGAAACATTCATCTCTTTCTGTAGTATATCCAGTTCAGTGTTGAGGTAACTCAGTGTTTAGTATGCTTTAGTATGCACAAACATCATTACAGAAATGAAACAAAACTCCATCTTGTTGGAAAAGAAGTCATTAGAATCTTCTTTCATTGAGGCATCAGCCATTGTTGCAACATGTCAGGTTAGGAATGTCCAGTAGCAATCTTCTCAGTGAAGAAGAAAAGTCCTAAATTTTTGTTATTATAATTTACAGGAACATTTACCTTTGGTGAATTATGCTCATGCTGAATGATTTTAGGAGATTTCTAGATATGATTAGTTCAATAATTGTGCCTGTTGACTATCCCTAATAAAAACATTTGAGCTTTGTCTTACTCTCCCAAATGCTTAGCAGAATGCACAAATGTCCCACTTTAGAGCATGACATTATAAATGTTCTTCATGAAAATGGGAGATTTTTGGTATCTTCAATTGACTGACTGAATGATACTACTTTATTGTATAGGGTGCATTGACAGCCAATTGAGCAGTGTGTTGCAAGATGAAATTGCTCTGACACACATACATTATAACTACTATCAACCAATAATCCAATAAAATGCCCCAAAATAGCTTCAGTGATATTGTTGAAGCTGCCATCACGATGCTTCATCTGTTTCTCTGAGATTTACAAACCCACTGAAAGGATCTCTTATGTGAATACTATGTTGATACGGAACATTGAAGGCAATGTTTTTGGTGAAACGTAACTTAGATGCATCTAGTAATGAGAACATTGAGAAACTGTACAGGATATTCATACAGTCTTATTATCATCTTATGCAAAAAATTCATTCATCAGTGAAACATTGTGCAACAAATATGTTTCCAGCAGGGGCAGTTTTGAGTACATAATCTGTTGTACAACAGTTGGATTGAGATGAGTCATAAGACAATTTGAATTTAGAATTTCTACAATTCAGTTTTTGAAGTATTATGTATCTTATATGTCCTGAAATGTACCATGCTCTCATGTCTACTATAGTTAATTGTTAATATAAACTCTCAAGTAACAGGGTTACTGGGTTAGTGAAAGTTTAAAAATTAAACACTTTAAAAAAGATATAAGTGGATTTTGACTTGGAAAAGAAAAAATTAGTCATTCTCTACTCTTCTGGGTATCTGATTTATGGCCATTTTATTTCTGTTGACTTGTTGATTATAGAGTGCAAAGTAAAGCAGGATAAGGCTGTTGAGGAGAGTACATGGAGTCAGATATAAAAATACCTGAAATTGGTGAAAAATGAAAAGCATTCCACTTTGGTTCACAAAAAATATGGCTACTTTAACTATACCACTTGTGTGAAATATTACTTCATCTCCTGAAAATTAAGTGATTCAAAAAGCCATTATTTTCTGCCTCTTGTTGCAGTTGGCAAGAAAACTGAAAGTGTTTGTCATTGTTATCTTTTTTTACCATGTGCAGGAGCTAGAATCTATGGTTTCATAGACAGCTTTTTATACAAAACTTTCCACACTGTCATCACTGGCATTTGTAGCTCTTGGAATACCCTATATATTGAATTCTTTGAATTGTGTGTAAATGTGTCTCTGACTCACTCCATGTTTTTCTCACTCACACCAAGACAGTCCCTCCTGTTTTGTGGACACAAGCAACCCATGGTTCTGAATTTCTCATTGTATGTTGCCTTTCTGTTTGGTACTTGTTTACCATAAGTAATTTGGAATTTCTGTTGAACATCTGTAGCATACTTGTGTAAGATGTTCAATGCGAAAGGAATAATAATAAAGTGTGATATCCAAGGAACAACTTTAATTTTGCAGTAGAACAGATTATTTACAGGTCCCAATCTTTATACACTTCCCAGGCTTCTCTGTGATAGCAATACAAGATATTTTAAACAGATTCTGTTACAATTATCAATCCTATACTATTAATCATACAATAATATGTATCCTGTGATTGCGAATCAAATCTTAACCTACTTAAAAACTAATTTAAAGACAGATGTATAGATAGAACGGGAAGGAGGAAGAATTGATAGGATAGGGGTACCCAATTTCTCGATGAATAACTTGGTGTGATTTCTCGTTTCCCACCTCCATGTCTGAACGGATGTTCTCTTCTGAATTATGATTTCTCTGAGAAGATTTATCTCAAGTCTCACTTCTTAATTTCACATAGGTCTCCTTCTCTGCGGCCTGACTCACCAGCTCTAGTAGATCTCAAGAATTCAGAGCTTTGCTCGTCCACGACTTGCTTCCTCCACATTCGGCCAAAGAATGAAAATCTGAAATGAGGTTTTGCCCTCAGGGCTTCCTGTAGCGTATTGTTAACTCCCCACACTCTAGTGGGGAAGGGTTGGGTCAGAATTTCTTAGAAATATGGAAACAATAGAACAAAGAAAGAATGGACAGAGAGACAGGAGTAAAAGAGATAAAATATGAACTTAAAATTATACAAAAAATATGGCATACTGACAAACTTGTTTTTATCAAATTTTAACACACACAAAGCATTGTCAGCGCAAGGTTGACATATTTGCAAGTAATATGAACTACAGGCCAAATGGTGGAAACTTCAAAGTTTCTATTTCAATTGATAGACATATAAAAGTGATATCATTTGTACTCTTTGTGCAATAAATTGTTACCATACTTTATGATATTCCAGGTCTTTGAGAGAATAGAGAGCTGTTAGTGCAAAGACCATTTTGGGTTTCTCTCTTTGAACTTATACAAATAACATAATGATATTGAAGTAGAAAAATAATCTAGAATAAATGTCAGTCCATGGTCAAAATTATTTCATTATTTGGAAAAAATAATGAGAAAATGGACTAGTTTAAAATTTTTTTCCTCTGATGGGCGGGCCCCCTAAAGCTCAAAAGTCCCGGAGTGGCAACTTGCTGCACCTCCCTCTTATTTGGGACATTCCAATTTTCAACATGAGTGTTAAGTGTTGAAATCAACAATTTGACGTCATCAATGATGTTCCAACTTTGAGTATGAAGTGCTCAGTTCCCATAATTCTATTCTCAGCAAGATGAATTCCATTCAAATATCGCACCAATTACCCACAATTCATTGAAAATAGCAGTCAACATATCAGTTGAGTGCAGAGTGTGTTAAGTCAGTGTTGACAACAGGCCACTTCAACATTGAAAAAAGGAATGACTTCTACCAAACGTTGAGATCAGCGTTTAGTCAGCGTTGAAAATTGGAATGTCCTGATAGGGTCTGTGTACACTCTGTGTTTAGGAAAAAGAGAAAGATATCAATGCAATGTTTACAATTGCTTATGTAGAAAGAGAGATCAAAATCATAGAAAACTTACTTATTTAATAGTTGAATGTCCTCAAATTAATTTTTTATGTAGTTTATTTGAAATTATATTATATAATTTTTATTTTAGGACAAAACCTAAGAATTATCAGAATGAAACTGCTATTAAGAAAATAAGTATTTTATATCCCCTGATTAAAACTTTCTGGATTGAATTTCTATTGACAGCAATATTAAAATTTATTGCAAGTGTTCTAACATTTGTAAATCCTTTGATATTAGAGTAAGTTAACATTTATTTTAATTTATCATTTATAATTATGTTTTTAAATTAAAAAATTTAATGTAAAATTGAATATTTTGAATATAACTTTAAATGTCAATAACAAAATATTTAATTTGATAAAAGTTCTTGTCAAAAATTGTATATGTCTGTGGTTCTTAATTAACTGGTGTTCAGAGAAAATGTCATGAATGTTCTTCTAAATTATGAAAGTGGCAAACTATCTGAAACTATGATTGGACAAACTTTAGCATAAATTTTCAGTTTACAACACAGACAAGATGCAACTTGCATTTTGCAGTGAACTTCATTTGTTACCCTTGCAAAGACAAGAAAATATTATATCTAAGCAATATTTTTTGAATAGAGAATCCTGAATCCAAAATCATGAAATATAAAATAAGTTTTTTTTATTAGAGAGCTTAAAATCCAGTGAGAATTGCAAATTAAATGAAAAATCTTGAATCTTTTAGATATATTTACTTATTAAATAATGTTTATAGCCCACAGCATAAAATTAAGTATAAATGAAACAGCCTAATGAATACAGCTATAATAAATTTAAGGGCTTATCATATCAGTGAATGACTGAAACACAACTAGATTAAATTTTTTACAAAATAGCCTTTAATTATCCACAATCAAGTTTTAGAATGTCTTTCGGGTACTTAGACCCCTCTTCATCCTACATACATCCATATAGCATGAAACACAAAAATTTATCAAGACCATCATAATATAAGTAGCAATTCCACACTATTTAATAAAAAATAAGTAGTAATTCACAATAGCATATACTCTGCAGAAAATTGCAAGAATGAAAATAAAACCTTTATATTTATTTATTTATTTAAGCATACTGGTACAACCATGATACTGGGAGAAAAAATACAAAAAATCATACAAGATCATACAGCATATCCATTAATACAAAACAAATATATACAACTTATAACTAAAACACAATATTAAATTAAAAATTAAATTCATTCTAAACCTAAAAGTGGAAGAGCTATCCAAAAAATAAAACAGATAAAGCCTAGTGTAGCGCTGGTTTGTGCTTAATTAATTACAATATACAAACAAGGCTATATACAAAAACTTAAATTTATTATGTACATGAGATATGTTGCTATTGTACAAGTCGAGCACAGAGGCGAGAACACGAGCATCTAGAACGAGGTTCGAACCAAAAGTGAGGTTATCGGCCAGGTTGCCAGGTCTGTTCAGTTCCAAGTACCTCCTGGTGGCAACTTTTGGATTTATGACCAAAGCTGTTGCCACACCTAGTTTTCTGATAATTATTTATCTTACCTATAAAATGAAAAATAATCAGTTTAGTCTTTTATTCACAAATTGGATATTCTCCCAAATAACCAAAGGTAACTGCTGGTTAAATAATGTTCAAACCACTCCCCAGAGTGCAATTAACATAAAATTACTAACAATTTTCACTATAAATTTAAAAAGAAACAAAAAACCACATTACCATAAAGCCAACATCAGAAAATAAACAATTTAACCTTTTAAATAAAAATCAATACCTTGAAAACGAATCAGAATGAGTATTCAATGAATCAGATATTACTTTCCTAAAATTATTAAATGAAAAACAGATACCAAAACCTTTATATAACTCACCCTACCATATACCTTAAGCCTCCAGGATAGCCATTGAAAACAAGATAATTACTGGTATGCAGTTAAGTTTCCATCTCATGCATTAAAATATTGCTTTTTCTGTTTCATTTCTGTTAAGAAATTATTGTAGATATATATAAACAACCAAGCTCAACTATCTTACAATAGTCATAATTTCTGGGTTATTCAGATTGTAGTTTGGCTAAGGATTAATAATCAGTCTGAAGAAGGTGGTTAGACCAGAGGAACCCTAATAACTTGACACTTCCGAAGAAAGCTAAACATATTACGTTAAGCAGGTTGTTGAATTAATAAAGTTTTGCAAAATTTTAAATTTTAATAGTCGACTTTGTCATTAAATATGGTACTGTATAGTGCAATTTGTCACACTTTTTGTGCTGTTTGACTTTCTTATTAAGTATATAAAATTATAAATTATTATGATTACAATAAGCAGATTCTACAGTATTTAAAAAAATAAATAAATAAAAATCTCTACTATTTATTCTTATAATGTTAGAGTACAGAAAAAATTTGAAATTTAGAACTTAAAGTAAAATGAACAATTAGCTATTGTTATCATCACAATGCCAGGATGAAACTTTTAATCATCTTTTAATTTAAAAAATCATGTGACTTCTGGTCCTGACTGTAAGTTCACATATAGTTAATTGGGATCTATGGCTCCTGAACATTCCATATGTGGTCACAATTTTAGTAATGTCTTGTCCCTATACATAATACTTTTCCTGATAACAACTGAGTAAAGCCAGTCAAATAGCTAACTTCTTTCTTGAGAAAGTTTTGAATTGAAATCATGTGGTTTCCAGTTCAGACTGGAAGTTCATATTTTGTTAATAAGGACCTTCAGCTCCTAATTTTTATGTACCTGGTCATGATTTTTATTTATCTAATTCTGTTTCTGAGATTAAAGGACAGATGGGCAACAGACAATGCATGACAGCAAGAATGTATAGGTCTGTAATTTTAAAATTGTAACCCAGTCATAAGCATTGGATAATTGAATATATGCTGTTAAATTTTTGTGATTTTAATTTTTATTTATTTGTTGTTATTATTTTATGATGTTTTATTTATTATTTAGTATTTAATAAATATTTAATTTTATAATAAAGTAGATTGTAGAGTAAAATTTCTCTCTTTAATTCTTGCAGTATGCTTATTGCATTTGTTGGAGGAAATGAGCCTTATTGGAGAGGTTTTGTTTATGCTGCAATAATGTTTTTTTCTTCAATGTTTGAATCATTTTTTAACAGCCAGTATGAATTTAAAGTCTATACTGTAGCAATGAGAATTCGATCCTGTGTTATATCTGCAATTTATAAAAAAGTAATTAGTAATGTTGTGTATATATAAGCAAATTAAATATTTTTATTTTACAGTAATTATTATATTTTAATTAACCACAATTTTTTTAGTCATTAATATTATCTAGTGTTGCTAAAAGAGATTTCACTGTTGGAGAAATTGTTAATCTAATGGCAGTAGATACACAAAGAATGATGGATTATATTCAGTTAGTAAATTTATTATGGTCCACACCATTACAAATAGGAATTGCAATTTATTTGTTGTGGCAACAACTTGGAATATCAACACTTGGTGGTTTAGCTGTAATGATATTATTCATTCCTATCAATGGTGTGATAACTGCGAAGCTTAAACAATTACAGGTAAATTTGGAAATTTTAATAATATTTCTTTGGTTTCTTTTTAAAATTATAATTGGATGTTTATAGTTATGATTAAAAATTGTAAATAATATACAGTACATAAAGTAAAATAATACAGAGGAAGTTTGTTAATCTGAGACAAGAGTAGTACCAGAATATTGGACTTCTTGTATTTTTTTATAAAATTTGATAAGTTATATGAAATCTGAATGTTGTAGACTTTGCTGTTCATTTTGTACCAGTGCATGCTGCTATATGTTTCTGATTTGTGTACATATGTTCTTTAATCAGTCTGAAGATGATACAGTACATAACTATACTGTGTTAAGATTGATTAAAAACCTGCAAAAACATAAATAAACACATTATTGCATAAAATCAACATTTCCAATGATTTGAGTTCGTATGGCTTTATAGCAATATTGGATTTGTTTTTGTTTTAGTTTGGATTCACTTGTTTATCCTTCCTCCTGTCTATTTCAAGTCTTTTGTCTTGACTGTCTCTCTTTCACGTTATTAGTTGGCAAATAGTGACCTCAAATGGTTGGTGTAGAAGTTGTTAATGTTATATGGATTACACATTGATTCTTTTAGATATAAAACTTACAACAAAACTTTAAAAGAAAATGTGTGATTAGAGTGACTTTGACTTTTAGAATTTTTTCAAGATCCTGAATAGAAACAGAATGGGTGCTTTTCGTTCTTTGAAAGGAAAATGTAACTGAAGTATTTTGAGATATTTTTTTAGACAATTTTGTCAAGATTTGAACATTGTGAAGAAAGGAGTACATAGTTTGAAATTGGATTGGACTGAAGAAAGTTTCTTAGTTCCCAAAAACTTGGAAAAAGTTGAAATGAAATTAGCATGCATGCTGTTTAATGGTATATTGTTTTTTCTTTGGTTCTGTATCTTGTTGTTGCTATTCCTGAGGATTAGTGTGTCCAACCTTCTTTTCCCTATTTCCTCCCTACAAGAGCAAATTTGTTATTAACAATTTTGATTTTACATTTTGGGATTTTATAATTTCTTTGTCTGGCCAAGATTTTCTCTGTAAATCAATAAGAAACATGTTATTTCTAACATAGATTCTAAGGTGGAAGAGAAGTACTTCTGATATTGAGCCTTGATTTTGGGTGTTAGCAAAAATCTTGGTAATCTGTTTGTTTTGCATGATTTCATCAAAGACCACTTGGTTAACTATTACTGGGTGAGTCTTCATCACTGGTATCCAAATTAATATTTATGTCAATTATTTTACACTGTATATTGTTCTATTAAAGATGGTTCTTATGTTATGTTCCAGCTTATGTTTTATTAATCTTTATCTATAAATGTAATTGTGAGAATGAAAGGATATAATCTCCTCATTCTCACAATTATAATATTTATTTTCCAAACATAAGATTCACAAAAGCCATACATGTCTAAGTATGAAAAACCCATTTTTAGGTGTACTGTCCTTGCATTGACCTATGGGAAAGGAAATAGATCATTCACTCTAGTTACTTAAACAAAAATAGGTGTCAGTTCTAATGAAGTAATATTTGTTTAGCACAATTTAAATAGACAACATATTGTTTACTGAACTGCACTCCCAGAAGGTGCTGGATTAACAAACATTTTGGATTATTGGGTGTCAGATTAATAAACTTCTACTGTATTTCACATAAACATTTCCATCTTTTGCTATATAAAGTATTATTCTTTTAGATTTGAAGTTCATTATTTATTATTAAATTTAAAATTATTGTAATTAATTTAAGTATTTTATTACCTAATAAATTGTTTAACAGTTTATATTATAATATAATAGAATTAAACCTTATTAAAAGAACTGTTGTTTAATCTGAAAATCTGAACACTATCATGCATATCCAGCAAACACATTTATTAAGAACACAAACATTTTTGACATGTTTCCAATCTATATTGTAAACCTGATGCAGACTTATGAAATATAAATGCCTTTAATAAATGTGTTTATTAAAAGCATGATGTTTAGATTTTCAGGTTAATCAAGTTTCAGTTTTGTTCGTCACTTTAAACTGTAGCTTTAAATGCAGACAAAAAGACAATGAAGTATTAATCAGAAAAAATGCAATTAATTGCAAATTTAATTACATTATCTTTAGATAAATTTTAAGTTAAAGTGGATAAGTTATAAATACTAAACAAAAGTATATCACCTTCATATTTATTGTTCAAAAAATTTTATTATTATTTTAGTATATAAAAATACACTGTGAGATATATTATGTTAGGGTTGACAAAGGGATCAATTCAAGGTTGCCAACTAAACAAAATTTTAACTCAATGTAAATAATCATGACAAACATTTAGAGCATAAACCCACAATATCTTAACCTAAAATACACTGTATTTTAATATAGGAGACTGGAATAACAGGGAGGGAAGAGAAATGAGAACGGTTATGTGGGAGAAGTACCTCAAAGCACAAAGTAGTGGATTGTGGCAATGTCATATTCTTTCATATTGCAGAACAAGAATGGTATGATGTTGGGCAATCCTTTTTTTTTCATTGGCAAAGCTTCATACAATCTATTTTTCAGCATTACTTACAACTTGACAATATTCTCATTCCTTTCAATTGTTGAAAGTAATCTTCTCAATTGTCCTTCAACACATGCAAAAATGTATCCATTTTCTTCTGTCCACCTGATATATCTCCTGTTCACTCCCACTGGGTTTATTACTTCTCTAAACCAGGGGTGGCCAATCTTTTGCATACCATGCGCCAATTTTTTGATAGACGAGTTTAGATGCGCAGTGGTGTACTGTGGGTGTTAGTTGCCCGGGGCAGAGAAAAATTTCGGCCACCCCTTAATTAGGTATTTCAATTTATAAGACGAAAATTCAGTTTTGCCACAGCACAAGCAATGAAAAATGCGGTTGTAGTGTAGTTACCCGTATAAAATAGTTCTATATGATATTAGTGGTGTACATGAACACGAATGTATTGTGTATCATACAGGGGGAAAAAAAAGCTCAACAGGTGTCGCAGGAACTACTTGGGAGAAGATGTTAGCAGTCTAATCCGATTCCTGGACTGTCCGGACGGTAGCACTGTCGTGGGACGTTAGCACTGTCATTTAGACACCTGTAAACTGATCGAAAATAAACATACATGCATGCACTGTAATTTACTATGTGGAGAACACTCATTTTATCTGTAAAGTTGATTGCAATGAATTGTGTAACAAATGAACTTGCCAAGATAGACTATAAAAAATTAATTTTCTATGTAATATTCATAATTGCAAAGAAGCCAAATCTGGCAATGTTGCTCAGAACTGACTGAAGCGCCACTTGTAATCGTCCAATGCACCAAGTTTGGCGCATGCGCCACGTTTTGGCCACCCCTGCTCTAGACAATAAACCAGAAAATAAAAGAGAAAGTTCTAGAAATATCTACAAATAATAGCTGTAACTAAATATATTTACATATAATACATGGAAAGTGACTGTCACAACACAATTTACAGCATATTATATAATTATAAACATAATTATATGATATAATTTATGTATTTTAATATAATAATTATAATTGAAGAAATATATTCATACTTTTTTCCTCTAAGTATTTGTGATTATATTTTCAAATACTGATTTTATACATGACTGAATACTAATTTCTCTTTTATAGCACACTAATTGTCAGATTGGTTAAGAATTCTACTATTTTTTATTGTTTTCAAAATTATATAGTTTGTACTTTATCGACTTTCATATATTAAATGTTGAATGAAGTGATTATATACAAATAATAAAAGTGGTGTGCAGTATCATGCTGCACATCTTTTGTTTTTGTTCATTACACTTAGTGCCCTTAAATATTATTTTTCTTTTCCTCTTTCTGTGTGTGTAAATCTGCTAGTTAAAAAAATAATAAAAACTAGAAATCTCAATATTAAATAAATTAATTAGTAAAATTTAACAATCACATTTTCCATTTATCAGATTACACTTATTACAGTTTTGATTATCTAAGTATTATGATTAATATAATTGCAAATATCTTTAGTTTGATACATTCTTTAATTAAATTTTATTATTTTTTGGGGAATTTATTAAACTATAGATATTTAAATTGTAATATTTTACAGAATATTTAAAGTATTTGTTTTTATAAATTATTTTATAAAAAATATTTTGTAAAATAACAATTAACAAACTTTTCTAACATTATTATTCTGTTTTGAAATTATGAGGAAATATTTAATACAACTGAATTCTTTAATATAAGTTTTTCATTTTAGTGTAGAGCAATTTTTTTATTTGCAAAATAATAAATAAATTGCTAAATATAAATAAATAATTTGAATATAGATAATTGTTATGAATAAACAATAAATAAATAATATAATTTCCAAGAGTTTATTTCATAACTGATGTTTAAATCAATCATCAAAAATTATTGTGTTGTTGTTATGTACTTTTACATGGAAATAAATAATATTAAAATAATCTAAATTTTAAATTTAAAAAATAAAAATATGGTAGATTATAAAAAATATTCCAAAAGATTTTTAAATAATTTTAAAAACTTAAAACTGAAATATTGTTCTTAGGAATGCTAATTTTTATCTATTATTTAATGAATAAATATATAAATTAAATTGTAATGGAAATAATAATCTTGATTCCTATAGAATAAAATTTTTGTAAAATGTCTTCTAAAAATTACAATAACAATTTTCAAATAATTAATAATTGTTTTTCCATTGTTGTGTTTTTGTTAAATAATAGCAAGGTTGAGGCCGAAGTTTTAAACGCGGAAACGTGTGCGTCAGACATTCAGCACCACTTTCCTGTAAGCCTAGAAGTTTGACAATGGTGTTTGGATAGTCAGTGGAATCATGCTCGACATTCCAAACACCATAGTCAAACTTCTAGGCTTACAGGAAAGCGGCGCTGAACGTTTGACGTACACGTTTTCACATTTAAAACTTCAGCCTCAACCTCGCTAATCTTTTAAAAATGAATGATTCTGATTAATTATTGTACTATTTTAAATACATTGTTTCATTTTCAGTTACGTTTGATGAAAGATAAAGATAAACGTATAAATCTAATGAATGAAATATTAACTGGAATAAAAATATTGAAATTGTATGCATGGGAAGAGTCATTTCAAAAAAGTGTTATGGATATTCGAAATAGAGAAATCAAAGTTCTTAAAACACAGTCATATTTAAATTCTTTTATAATGTTTTTCTTTACCAGTGCACCATTTCTGGTATGTTTTATTTATTTTTTTTTAATTAAAGTTATTTGAATAGAATAATAATAAAATAAACAAATTTTATTTTAGGTTGGTTTGGCAAGTTTTACAATGTTTGTTTTTGTAAATTCTGAAAATGTTTTGGATGCAAATCGAGCATTTGTTTCATTAACATTATTTAATATTCTTCGTGTACCTTTAGCGTTTCTTCCCATGTTAATAACTTTTACAGCAATGGTGATTATTTTAAGTATTAATTTTTTCTGTAATAAATTGAATTATATTAAATTATAATTGATTATTATAGTTTATTGTGTCTTTAAGAAGAGTCAATCGTTTTCTTCAATGTAAAGAATTGGATCGTGATGCCATTGGTCATGATGAGCATGAAGGTTTATTTAGATTTTATTTGAATTAAATCATGATGAATATTTTATGATAAGAATTTATGTTTTTACAACATTAACTTCAATGTAGATAATCCAATTGTCATAGAAGATGCTGCATTTAGTTGGGAGGATTCTAAGCCAATGTTAAAAGATATTTCTATACAAATCAAATCTGGATCACTTGTGGCCATTGTTGGACAAGTAGGATCTGGAAAATCATCTTTTCTCTCAGCACTTCTTGGAGAAATGGAGAAACTAAAAGGTCGAGTCAATATTAAGGTAATTTATATTTTAACTCATTTAATTTTAAGGTCATTTTTAAAATTGGTTTTTATATTTGAATTTGATTTATTTTTAAGGGTACCCTTGCTTATGTGCCTCAGCAGGCATGGATACAAAATACCACATTAAGAAACAACATTTTATTCACAAAACACTATAAAGAAAATAAGTATAACAAAATTCTTGAAGCCTGTGCTCTTAAATCTGATTTAGAAATGTTACCAGCTGGTGATCGTACAGAAATTGGTGAAAAGGTAGACAATATTTTTAATCAAGATAATATCAGTTATTAATTTAAAATTTTAGTTTATTTTAATTTCATATGGAATGAATGGTTTCATAGAAGAAAAACTGAGACTGAAATATTGGAGCCAAAAAGATTTTATTTAGAATACGAATGTATTCTAACCTCAAATTAAACTTCAGTATTTTCAAATATGCACTTATAGAAATTAAATGAGTGAGTTAATTGTAGTATCTTCACATGTAGAAAAGTTAAGGTTGCCATTTTTCTACATCATCTGACCTGCAATTATGGTAAAGGAAAAAAAAGTAAATTACAGGAAACTAAACAAGGAGATTTATTGATGTTGTCGAAACCGTGTTGTATTTGCTTATTGTGTACAGGCACAATGAAGTGACATTTTTCTCAACACTGGGCTAGTTGAATCTTTTATTTAGTTAGACTAAATAAAAGATAACTAAATAAAATAACTAACTAAATAAAAGATTCAACTAGCCCAGTGTTGAGAAAAACGTCACTTCATTGTGCCTGTACACAAAAAGGAGATTTATATTATTATATAGAGTAGAAGCTCATTAATATTATTATAGAGTAGAACTTATGGGAACCAAAGTGATGTCAGATTATTGAACATACTTGATTACTGACATTTTTGAATTTTTCCAAAATTTGATAAGTTACATGTGATTTAAATGTTGCAGACAAAATTTTTCCTCTTGATTATCCATTTGGGGGCTGAATAGAATAGCCACAGAAAAATTTTCTTATATATGCATTCAGAGCTTTTTTTTCTCTTCTCTTCTCTTCTTAGAACAACCTTGGACATGTGGATCATCTTTTTATATGCCTTCCATCTAACACAATATCACTCACTTCTATATTTATTCCTTCAATCTTCATTATTATATTAAATTTCTAAATATTACAATTTATTTTTCAGAAATGTACTGTATATACAAGATTCACAAAAGCCTTACATGTTTCAAATATGAAAGATCTGATATCCGACAGATGTCACTTATAGATGGTACAGAACATGTTGAGTGAAAAATGAAAAGTATTTGAAATTCATAGGATTGTAAGCACTACTATTCCACTGTTACAATGTTAAGGGTAGTATTTGTATAATTATTATAACTGACAGGAATTGTGCTTCAAAGTTTAGCATTTTTAAACAGAAGTGGAAATAGGATTTGTGAGGTCTTAGGAAAAATTTATTTTTGAGGCATATAGCAATGGAAGTAGAGAATAGATTTATTTAGGTCTACAATAATATGAATATTTTTAATATAGAAACAGTAAAACACATGATAAAACAAACAATTATTTATTGTGACATGGTCACAATACCAGGATGCAATGTTTAATCATATTTTTAATTTATTTATTTTAAAATATATAAAGATATCAACTTTTAAAATAATTTTATTGTTTCAATAGTTGAAAGATAATATTAATAAAACTATTTAAAATATATGCTCTCCACCTCAAATTAGTAGTGTCATGCCCCTGTACATCATACTTTTCCTGCTAGATAGCTATGCTGGTCTATCTAACTCCTTTCAGGGGAAAATTTTTGAATTGAAATAACATGACTTCCAATTTGCATCAGAAGTTTGTATATAGTTAATCAGGACCTCCTGCCTCTAAGTTTTCCTTATCTTGCCTCGACTTTTGTCTATCTAACTGTTCTTGAGCTTAAGGAAGGATGGACAGACAGATGACAGTTGTAATTTATAGGTCTGCAATTTTTTTTAAATTACAGCCAATAATAAAAATGTGTATATAAACAAATAACTCCAAAATCTCAATTGTTTAATTAAAACAAGACAATCTGCTGAATTATCAGGTTATAATAAGGCTAAGATAATAATTAGATAGAAAGTAATTTGTCTAGAGGTAGGCAGTTAGGCTGTTATCTTGTGTTAATTTTAATATTTATAATAAATTAATTTTTAATTTAGAATTTCTGGAAGAAAAATAATAGTCTATAAGTGTATTGAAAATATTTTTTATAATCCACAAATTACTTGAAACAATGAACTATATATAATTATATAATATTACATATATTCTAAATTTGAATTAAATTTAGGGTATAAATTTAAGTGGTGGACAGAAGCAGAGAGTAAGTCTAGCTAGAGCTGTTTATAATGATGCTGACATATATTTACTTGATGATCCACTAAGTGCTGTTGATTCTCATGTTGGTAAACATATTTTCCAAGAAGTTTTTGGTCCAAATGGAGTTTTGAAGGAAAAGGTATTTTTATATATTTCAATACTTTAAATAAAGATTGTTTTACTATATTTTAATAGTATAATTCCATTGTAATTAAAATATACCTGTTTAAAATGGTCTGCATCTAATATCAACAGAGGCAATGAAACAAAATACAGTAGTGTTGGTTATCCAAAACAATAGAGGTGGGACACTTTTGAATAACCAATAACACATTTGGTAAGGAAAGAGTAAAAAAGAGATATCTTTAATTTGAAACTATAGAGACATAAAATTATATAATTTTTCAAGTCTTTCTTTTCCTTTTTCACAGACCAATTCAGAGGTAACAGTCAATTAGCTTGAAGAAATAAAAAATCTTCTTAAGACATCATAAATATATTATTAAAAAATTACTGCGTTAAAATATTATCAAAATGCTGACCTTTTCTTAGCAGTTACAGTGCTTTCACAATAAAACAAGGATAAAAAATTTTTCACAATATCTACCGTATCTTGTAGCATTTTTAACTGCTTCTAGCCCTGGTGGTGCTTTCGGGTAATCACAAAATACTTTGCATAAAGTTATATACATAAAGACGACATATCTCAAGGATTGATCTGTGTAAAAGGAAAAGAAAGGTTTGAAAAATTATATAATTTTATGTAAGTCTATAGCTTCAAATGAAGCTAATCCTTGGGATATGTTGTCTTTATGTATGACTTTATGGAGAAAACTTAAAGTAAAAATATTAATTTTTACCTTATTTAAGATTTAATTATATGTAGATGTTATTTATGGTTGGATTTGAGTATCTGTCACTTAATCATATTCATGTGATTCATAAAAAGTGAGATATGATGCTTAAAATAGATTAATAATAAGCTATAAATTTATTATAGTTGTTCTATTTCAATATTATTAAAAATAAGTTTAATATTCTTAGTTTCTTTATGCTACTTACCATTTTTTTAAATTATAAAAAATTTATTTTACTTTTTATTTATAAAATGTCAATTAACAGCTTATGTAACTAATGATACTTTATTACTTAGAAGTTCACATGATATTATAGAAGGCATCAAATACAGATAATTAAAATTCACTGTTTCATTTTAAAAAGTAGGCCAAAATAAAAAAATTATTTCTAAAATATTTGAAAAATTAATTATCAGTTTCTCAGCAGAAGGAATACATATAGTCTTGTAGCCAGGAATAAATCATTTGGAGGCTTGAAGGGCAAGCTGAAAAAATTTTCACCATTTTTTTCTCTTTTCTAGCCAGCATTAGCCCTGTTAGCTGAAGTCTAAGTGTAAAAAAAGTAACAGTAGACTAAGTTTATGTGATGAAAGTGAGAGTATACGTTATATATATACTGCATATGGGTACTGCTGCACTAAGCTGAGGGGGGCTTAGCTATCTGATAGCTGTGACTCTCAATATATATTTCTAATTATTAATTTGTTTAGTTATTTTTTAGAAATAATTTTATAATCATTTTGTTTCATTTAGTCTCATACTATAAAATATAATTTCTTAACTTTTTTTGTAGTTTTATGCATAAAACATTGAGTAATTTTAACCAAAAGGAAATTTTAATGCAAAAATTAAAACAAAAATTTGTTCATATTACAGACAAGAATATTAGTAACTCATAGAATTTCAGTTTTGCCGGAAGTTGATACTATCATTGTAATGAATGATGGAGTTATATCTGAATATGGCACTTACAAGGAACTTCTTAACAGACGAGGTGCTTTTTCCCAGTTTCTTCTTCAGTTTCTATCTGAGTCTGTAGAAGAAGTAGATTCATTACCAGATGATGAAATTCAACTTTTTGAAGCATTAGCACCAACAATAGGGGCACCACCAGAATTGCAAAGGTAAAATTATGATCTAATAATAAAATTGTTAAATGATATTTTGAATAAAATTTATCATTTAATACGTGGATATCACCACTTAGTCCATATATTTTCTTAGCAACTTATCTTCAGTGACTTCTATGAACAACTTCATTGAGATCTGTATTTATTTATTACAATTATTTAAGTTTATTTTAAATGTTTCTGATAGATATTTCCATTCAGAAATTCTGTTAGGACAGATTTTGCATTTAATAAAAGATTATTTTCCATATATTCCATATATATGATGTAATTATACAATATAACTCAGGATTCAACTTCATACCTTTTAAAGTATAATACTTGGCCAATATATGAGATATATGCTCAGAGAATAACTTCCAGCTTTGCATACAGTCTGTGGAGGTAGCATGATTTGGGTTCATCAAAACATTGTTGTATCTTCTTGCTTCTTCCTTCTTCCTTTCTCTACAGTTGAATGCATTTTAATAAGACAATGATTTTAGCAAGATGAAGAGGTGATAACGGTCACATAATGCTCAGTAAAGAATCAAATTTTGTGAACAAGGGGTTATAAAATAATAACATGGGCTTATAAATAACAAGGGAATAAAGTATCATGATTTTAAATATTTTAAATTAAAAAAACATATATTTGTGTATTCTGTGGTGTGACGGGTTAATGAAAAACTGTATTATACAAGAATACACCACATATTAACACAAATTTCAACTAAATATCGAGGAAATCATTTATTTACAGTTAATCTCCAATTTAATTTTAATACATAATCTCGAAACCGTCCATGATACAAAATTATTCCTCTTTTCCTCTCTTTAACAAAGCTCGTCTACCCGATTGCACGTTCGAGTCCCAAAGCCGACCAGTACACAACCAGTTGTGACCGTATTATAATAATACTTATAACTAACTAAATCTAAAATATAAACTAATATAATCTAGGTTAGAGAGAAGTCCCCCTTATCTGTGCGACAAATTGGGCAATCTTCCGACGTACACTCCCTGACCGCATGGATTTGTTCCCTCATCTTCCTCACGTGCTTCTCCATGTCCCCTCGCTTGCTTCTTCCAGAATGAATAATGAAAGTAAAGTCCTCCTACACTGCCTTGTCAGTTGTTGCCCCCTTTTCAGCGCAAATCTAGCCAGAAAGTGCAAATGGGTCAGAAGAGTCAAAAGAGGAAAAACAGTGCAGGTTATTTAAGTAGAAAGAGGAAATTATAGATAACATAGGATATTATAGACTAAAACATACATATACATGGTGGGATACACCGCAATTCTTGACAATAAATGACTTGTCATTACATGACTTTGGTAGACATGTACTGTACATTTCACCATACATTGTAACTGTTTCTTTATGCACTTCCTCTGTGATCAATCCTTTGACTCATAGAAAATGAACAATTAGGCACTATTCTTCTTATGTACACTTTTGTAATACACCATCCATGTTAAACTGGCTGTGGTTGAGTAATTGCGACATGCAGAGATATAGCATTTGCCGTGATTTGTTACTAATGGGTGCTGATATTTATTGTTGAAAATGCACAATGAATTTTAAATGATTTTCAGTTTGTGCAGATTTCTGACATATATTGACTCATTCTGATATATGAAATCAGAATAGACTCTTATTCAATACAAAATCTGATCTATGGGAAACTTCTAACTTCTGCATGAAAATAATTTATACAAAGAATTATGTTAAAACTATAATACATTTTCTATAAAATTAGTAATCAGTACAAAAATTGCTTAATTCAAAAAAATAAAAATATTAGTTAATATTACTGAATACATTATTTTCTTAGTAATGAATAACTCCATTAAAAATATTCACAAATTACAGAAGACTAAAAAAATTTTCTTCATATCTTGTCCTTGTCAACATCCCAGGAACACAAGAGTCTTTACTGGTGGAGTCTACCTTTTATTTGAGGCTACTCATCTATCTCTATATGCAAAATCATTGAAAAAATTCCTTGGTGAAGGCACAGTTTTAATAAAAATATATTAATTAATAAATTTAATGACCAGGAGAATAATAAATAAAAATATTCAAAAATTAGAAGAAACTAAAAAATAGTCTTCATATCAAGGACAAAATATGAAGACAATTTTTTAGGTTCTTCTGATTTGTAAATATTTTTAATATTTATTATCCTGACCATTACATTTATTAAATAACTCTATCTTTAATCAATGAGATCAATTAAACACTAAAATTTTAAGGACTTTAGAAATTTATTTGCGAATAAACATTTTTTTGAGACATTTTATTTTGTTAGTATAATTAGAGTAAAAACGGTCCTTAAATCAATTTAAATTATGTATCAGGACATATTTTTTAATTATTTGTTGTGCATTGCATCATGGAATGATATAGAATTTATATGATTCAATTTTAAATGATCTGAATCTATCTAGAAATAACAAATATATATGTTTAATACATGAAAGTGCTGATAACAAATACTTCAAAAGGGTGATGTTTTTCAGAATTGTGTTGTAGATTTTAATGCCCATAGCAAAGGTTCCAAGTTATTGCTTTCCTTCTTATTTATAATATGGTTTATAATATGAGATTACATAGCTATTATTTTCTATATAAGCATATAGAACTTATGTTTAAACTCCAGAAGTATAATCTCTGTTTTATTCCATCTTTTGCTTTTTTATTTCCCATCCATGAGTTGATGTTCAGGTAGTGTAATTGGCAACATATCTGCACAATAAACAAAACTTGTCAGTTCTAAGTTATTCTGATTAATCTTTTCTTCCAAAATAGTTTAAATTATTAAATTCAATTCAAAAAACTTAATATAATTATTAAATTTAACACAAGATGGTGGTTTTATTATTTATTTTTAGTCCAAATTATATATTATCTACAGAATATTAACATGCAACTCAACACAAAATGGGTAATGGAAATTTTGAATTGTTCAGTGGAAATCCTATATTTGTGAAGTAATTAAATGTCAGATTCTGGATTTTATAAGGTTTTATTTCTTCTGGTTATGTTAAAATTAAAATATTTACTTAAATTACACTTGAAAAACAAAGAACGTGAAAAAAAGGGTTTACACAGGTTTTATTGTATATTTTATTTGCCTCAAGAAAAAAAGAGTTATGGAAGGAATGTTGGTAAGATTTACCATTTGTATCAAATTTAAACAATTGATATTTTTCATGCAGTTGCAATATTAAATATCATCGTTTAAACCAGTGTTTTCCAACCCGTGGGTTGCAACCCCCAGGTGGGTCACAAAGCCATATACGGGGGGTCGCGGGTAAAAGAAAAAGTCAAGTGTTTGTAGGTTTTACACTACAATTTCAGTGAGAAGGCTGTGCCTGTTTATTTACAGTACAATTAGTTTTTCAATCGATATTTAAATTTCAACAAAAAAAATTAAATACGTAGTTTTTAAAATCACTGACATAGTTTTAATTAATATGATGGTGGGGGGTCGCCAAAATTTTTTAACTTGTAAAAGGGTCACATATTCAAGAAGGTTGAAAAACACTGGTTTAAACTATAATCTACATTCTCGAACCATGGAGCACTTATCATATAGTAAATTATATCACATTCAAGTGCACAGTGCACACCGTGCAATGTCTAACAATTAAGATTGAATGGTGATTGAAATTAATAAATAATTATACAGATTTGTGTTGTTGTCCTTATTTTCAATTTATGTCTTTTAGAACAGTTTATAAATGCTAGGATTTATCAGCTTGGCCAAAACAAAACTTGTGCAGTAGGAAAAAACCTTTAGAGTAAGGTCTGGTATATCTATAAATTTAGCTAGCTAAGTTCTAGCTCAACAGTTAATTTGGCTTTATCATTTGATCATTACAATAATTCAGTCTTGATTGTTTATATAGATTAATCACATTTTAATTTGAATAATATAAATTTTATAGACCCTGGAAAATCATGTTCTGTGATGCAACTCACAATGAATAGTTGAATACATGTTCTGGTATCTAATTAGAATTGATTTAAAGACTGTTTTTTATTCAAATTATTCAAATTTATTCAAATTTCTCAAAAGTTTAATTGTAAATAAATCTTTCAATTTCTTAAAACGTTAGCATTTAGTTTCTGTTGTTTATTACAGAATACATTATTAGGTACTAAATTTCTAAGTTATCAAAGATAGTTCAATTTAGCAATTAGTTTTTTATGATAAAAATATATTCTTCATTAATTTTATATATTCTTATAATTACAGACAATTGTCTAGAGTGAGTGGTGCAGAAAGTGAATTATCAGAATCTGGTGACATAAGAAGGAGGCTTTCCAAACAGTTTAGTGTGTCTGATATAAAACATGACTTTTCGAAATCTGAAAAAGACAAAATAAATATTAGAAAAGAAAAAAAATCAAAATTAACTGATGCTGAAACTATTGAAGTTGGATCTGTGAGTCTTTTTTTAAAACCTTCCTACATATTATATTAGTTATTTGTCAAAATTTTAACATTTCCATTTAAAATTATTAACAGGTGAAATGGAGTGTATATTTTCAGTATTTTAGAACACTTGGATATTGTGGTATTTTTATAACAGTAATATCATATGCTATTTCAAGTTCTTTTAATATTGCTACAAATGTATGGTTAAGTTTGTGGAGCAATGATGCTTCAGATCCTGAAAAAAGATATGATACAAATCTCAGAGATTTACGACTTGGTGTGTATGGGGGTCTTGGAGCATCAGAAAGTAAGTTTTTTAATAATTCAATGAAAATTGCAGGTTTCAGAGATTAAACAAAAATCATTGTAATAATATTGTATTTTAAAATTACACATATTTAATTTAAGTTACATAAATTTTAATAACAACAAAAATATGATTATACATTTAAAGTTTTATAATTAAGAAAATTCAAATTTATTCTTAATTTTTTAAGAAATATTTTATTTTATTAAATTAATTATAATTTTTCATAAAAATAATTTTTCAATTTGTTAAAAAAGTTCTTTAAAATAAAGAAATAAACTGCTTGTAACTGTATATTTTATAAAACATTTTATTAGTTTTCACTTATCAAAAGCATTCTAAAATTAATTTTAAATTAATATAGTTTTAACACAAAATCCTTTATATTTTAATTAATATTAGTGATCTGAAATTATAATTCATAATATCAAATGTAAAGAAGCAAATGAGTAAAAAATAATTAGAAATAACTCATATTTATTTGAAGTTTGTGTTTTCCAAAGTATCACATGAGAAAAAATATCATGTAATACACACAAATGCACACAGACCACAAACACATGAGATCAACACAAAATTGTCATCAAAATAGTTTTTTTTTTACACAACTACATACAATGCCTTCAGATAATTTTCTGTAAAGCCCATTTCTGTTTTCTTGCAATTTTCTGTTGGTCATAGGTTTTGCCTCACCAACAGGCTGGCTGCATCGAGTACCTAAATAGGGATCAGTTTTCCATAGAAAGTCCTCCTGAAAGGCATCTCCTTGGCAGATTACCTATGTATTGCATTGCAGTATCTCATCAAACTAAACCAAACCATTTTCTGTATAACTATCCAGGAGATCCATTGTTTTTGATTTTACCTCTTCATACAAAATAGGTTTCTTTGGGCACAGACTTGCTCTTTGGGAAGAAGAAAAAGTTTCAGTAAGCAAGATCCAATGAATATGAAAGCAATAAAGTACAGAGATTTGTTTTTATTAATCAAAAACTGCTTTACAGAAAATGCTTTATGGAATGGCTTGTTATCCTGATACAAGATTCACTCGTTTCTTTACCATATTGGCCATTTCCTTCTCACTCACTTGAAGAATTTAGTCAAGATTTTAATATAGTAGTGTTGATTGACAGTCTGGCCAATGAGAACCCAGTTAGCTATCAAAGCATCTTGGATGTAGAAGAAAGCAACTACCTGGGCAATCACATTTTTTATACTTTGCATATTGTGCCTTAAAGTTTTCATGCCAATCAAAAAAATATGTTTGAGATATACAATCTTCACTGTAAATTTCTGTCAATAATTGTAAAGCTTTCTTCATGAATTTCTTCAATTTGATGAGAAAATTGATGTTAACTCTGTTAGGTTTTTGAATCAGACATTTATCACAATAGTATTTCTATACAAAAACATTCATTCATTGCCACTTACAAGTGAGTAAACCTGCCACATCATGAGAGCACAGTTCAAGTTCAAATACCATACTATATATTTGTCCTCTCTCATTATTGACGCCTGAATTATTGAATCAGTCTTATTACTTGTGCTATTTAAGTTGTTAATGATTGATAACAATATGGTTATACAGTAGAACCTCGAAAACTCGGCCTAATGTGGACCGAAGGGTGGCCGAGTTTGTGAAAATGCCGGGTTATCGGGAATGGGGTTAAAAAAAATAAGTACGAGTGTTTCCTCAGAAAATACTGTACTGTACTTGTATGTATTGTTTACTTGAGAATATAACAGAGAATAAACTGCCCAAATACCCTTAAACAAAGGAAAAGTACGTCCTTTATGAAGGCATAGAGCCTTTACTACATGAAAATGAAAATTAATGAATACACTGTGTACAGTAATTTACCTGATAAGACAGACCTCAGAAAAATACTTTATGAGAGCTTTTATACTTTTATAAAGCTGTCTATAATGAAAATTAATTAACTAAGGATTTTTTTGCCCTGCCAGGGTGTGGCCGAGTTATCCGGAGTGCCGGGTTATCGAGAGCCGAGTTCTCGAGGTTCTACTGTAGTCAAAATAGAACTTTTAAGTTATATTTTAATGATAATTTAAGTATTAGAATGATATAAACTTTTGTATTTTCTTTTGTAGCTGTATTTATATTTATTGGTGCATTATCTATGAATCTTGCATGTCTGCGTGCATCTAAAATTCTACACGATGAAATGCTGGTTCGTATATTGCATGCGCCCATGTCCTTCTTCGACACCACTCCCATGGGTCGGGTTTTAAACAGATTTTCTAAAGATGTAGATACAACTGATATAACTATCCGATTTAATATTCGCATGATGCTTGTTCAGGCATTTCGATCCTTAGTTTCTTTTATCATTATTTGCATGGAAACTGCTTTATTTCTGGTGGTAGTAATACCTATCGGCATAATATATTATTTGCTTCAGGTATGGGATGGCAACTTCTATATTTTAACGACTTAACTTTTATAAATAAAGTCTAAAGTGTGAACAATTAGGATTTGGAGAGTAAAAGCATTTGTTATTGTAATTTCAGAAATTTTACATTCCCACATCGCGACAGATGAAGAGACTCGAATCTGTAACACGTTCTCCGATTTATGCGCATTTTTCTGAAACAATAACAGGAACTTCATCCATTCGAGCTTATAGAGCTGCACAAAAATTTATCGATGAGTCAAATAATCGCGTAGACACCAATCATTCCTGTTATTATCCGAGTTTAGCAGCAAATCGGTAAGATCATTTCTTAATTTTTAAATTAATTTTAACGAAAAAAATGCCATAAATTTTAAATATAAATTACTGCTTTCGTATGCAGATGGTTGGCAATAAGATTAGAATTTTTAGGATACTCCATAGTATTTTTTTCTGCATTATTTGCTGTTCTTACTAAGAATGATTTGAATCCCGGAATTGTTGGATTATCTGTCAGCTACGCTTTAACGGTAAAAAACAAATCCTTTTTTTTGTAATTATTTTAAAACATAAATGTTAATAATAAAATTTTTTAAATATAGATAACGGCTAATTTAAATATGTTGGTTCGAGCGAGTGCCGATGTAGAAACAAATATAGTTTCGGTGGAACGTTGCCTGGAATACAGCGGAATTAATACAGAGGTATACAAATAATAATAACTTAGATAAATTAAATCTAAATTTTTATATAAATTAAGATAAAAATTAGATTATTACAAATCTTTAGGCTCCTCGTTATAATAAATCAACCAAACCAGATGATTCCTGGCCGAAAAATGGAAATATCAAATTTGAAAATTATTCTACGAGATACAGAGAAGGATTAGATTTAATTCTGAATGATATAACATGCGACTTTTCTGCTGGTGACAAGGTATAAATATTTGTTTTCTATTATTTAGATTGACAGTAAATACTTTTAATTGAAATAGTAGTTAAATCTACTCTTATTCACTCGCAATGCAATCAAATGTTATCAGGATCGTTCAGATTGTTTTATTATTATTATTATTATTTTACAAATTGTCTCAGATCATTTAAAAACACCTGTTGTATTTATTTTTTCTTTCAGATTGGTATTGTAGGAAGAACCGGCGCTGGAAAATCATCGCTAACGTTATCTCTCTTTCGAATTATTGAAGCGGCAGCTGGGAAAATCTATGTCGATGACGTCGATATTTCTAAAATTGGGTTGCACGATCTTCGGTCCAAACTTACAATTATTCCTCAGGTAAAATAAAATTTCCATACTTTTGTTATAAGAAGGTGCTCGCGGATATTTGCTGATGGCGTTTTGTAAATATTATGCGATTTTTCATAATTTTGCTTTGCAAAGGATGACATTTTATAAAGATTTTTATAACAATGCTAGAGTGATTTTGACTAAATCGTGGTAAATGATAAAACTATTTCTATCACTTATCACGTAATAAAATATTAAAACTTATGACTTGGTGAAAACCGAGTAAAAATATACTGTCTTCTATGTAAGCATAAAATTGCTATATCGGATTTATCATACAGGAAAAAGGCGAATGGACGTAAAATAGGCTCCTATCCGAATACTCGAAGTGCATATTCTGTCTGAATAAAGCCTATTTTACGTCCATTCGCCTTTTTCCTGTATGATAAATCCGATATAGCAATTTTATGCTCACTTAGAAGACAGTATATTTTTACTCGGTTTTCACCAAGTCATAAGTTTTAATATTTTATTACGTGATAAGTGATAGAAATAGTTTTATCATTTACCACGATTTAGTCAAAATCACTCTAGCATTGTTATAAAAATCTTTATAAAATGTCATCCTTTGCAAAGCAAAATTATGAAAAATCGCATAATATTTACAAAACGCCATCAGCAAATATCCGCGAGCACCTTCTTATAACAAAAGTATGGAAATTTTATTTTACCTGAGGAATAATTGTAAGTTTGGACCGAAGATCGTGCAACCCAATTTTAGAAATATCGACGTCATCGACATAGATTTTCCCAGCTGCCGCTTCAATAATTCGAAAGAGAGATAACGTTAGCGATGATTTTCCAGCGCCGGTTCTTCCTACAATACCAATCTGAAAGAAAAAATAAATACAACAGGTGTTTTTAAATGATCTGAGACAATTTGTAAAATAATAATAATAATAATAAAACAATCTGAACGATCCTGATAACATTTGATTGCATTGCGAGTGAATAAGAGTAGATTTAACTACTATTTCAATTAAAAGTATTTACTGTCAATCTAAATAATAGAAAACAAATATTTATACCTTGTCACCAGCAGAAAAGTCGCATGTTATATCATTCAGAATTAAATCTAATCCTTCTCTGTATCTCGTAGAATAATTTTCAAATTTGATATTTCCATTTTTCGGCCAGGAATCATCTGGTTTGGTTGATTTATTATAACGAGGAGCCTAAAGATTTGTAATAATCTAATTTTTATCTTAATTTATATAAAAATTTAGATTTAATTTATCTAAGTTATTATTATTTGTATACCTCTGTATTAATTCCGCTGTATTCCAGGCAACGTTCCACCGAAACTATATTTGTTTCTACATCGGCACTCGCTCGAACCAACATATTTAAATTAGCCGTTATCTATATTTAAAAAATTTTATTATTAACATTTATGTTTTAAAATAATTACAAAAAAAAGGATTTGTTTTTTACCGTTAAAGCGTAGCTGACAGATAATCCAACAATTCCGGGATTCAAATCATTCTTAGTAAGAACAGCAAATAATGCAGAAAAAAATACTATGGAGTATCCTAAAAATTCTAATCTTATTGCCAACCATCTGCATACGAAAGCAGTAATTTATATTTAAAATTTATGGCATTTTTTTCGTTAAAATTAATTTAAAAATTAAGAAATGATCTTACCGATTTGCTGCTAAACTCGGATAATAACAGGAATGATTGGTGTCTACGCGATTATTTGACTCATCGATAAATTTTTGTGCAGCTCTATAAGCTCGAATGGATGAAGTTCCTGTTATTGTTTCAGAAAAATGCGCATAAATCGGAGAACGTGTTACAGATTCGAGTCTCTTCATCTGTCGCGATGTGGGAATGTAAAATTTCTGAAATTACAATAACAAATGCTTTTACTCTCCAAATCCTAATTGTTCACACTTTAGACTTTATTTATAAAAGTTAAGTCGTTAAAATATAGAAGTTGCCATCCCATACCTGAAGCAAATAATATATTATGCCGATAGGTATTACTACCACCAGAAATAAAGCAGTTTCCATGCAAATAATGATAAAAGAAACTAAGGATCGAAATGCCTGAACAAGCATCATGCGAATATTAAATCGGATAGTTATATCAGTTGTATCTACATCTTTAGAAAATCTGTTTAAAACCCGACCCATGGGAGTGGTGTCGAAGAAGGACATGGGCGCATGCAATATACGAACCAGCATTTCATCGTGTAGAATTTTAGATGCACGCAGACATGCAAGATTCATAGATAATGCACCAATAAATATAAATACAGCTACAAAAGAAAATACAAAAGTTTATATCATTCTAATACTTAAATTATCATTAAAATATAACTTAAAAGTTCTATTTTGACTACAGTAGAACCTCGAGAACTCGGCTCTCGATAACCCGGCACTCCGGATAACTCGGCCACACCCTGGCAGGGCAAAAAAATCCTTAGTTAATTAATTTTCATTATAGACAGCTTTATAAAAGTATAAAACCTCTCATAAAGTATTTTTCTGAGGTGTGTCTTATCAGGTAAATTACTGTACACAGTGTATTCATTAATTTTCATTTTCATGTAGTAAAGGCTCTATGCCTTCATAAAGGACGTACTTTTCCTTTGTTTAAGGGTATTTGGGCAGTTTATTCTCTGTTATATTCTCAAGTAAACAATACATACAAGTACAGTACAGTATTTTCTGAGGAAACACNTGAAATTAATAAATAATTATACAGATTTGTGTTGTTGTCCTTATTTTCAATTTATGTCTTTTAGAACAGTTTATAAATGCTAGGATTTATCAGCTTGGCCAAAACAAAACTTGTGCAGTAGGAAAAAACCTTTAGAGTAAGGTCTGGTATATCTATAAATTTAGCTAGCTAAGTTCTAGCTCAACAGTTAATTTGGCTTTATCATTTGATCATTACAATAATTCAGTCTTGATTGTTTATATAGATTAATCACATTTTAATTTGAATAATATAAATTTTATAGACCCTGGAAAATCATGTTCTGTGATGCAACTCACAATGAATAGTTGAATACATGTTCTGGTATCTAATTAGAATTGATTTAAAGACTGTTTTTTATTCAAATTATTCAAATTTATTCAAATTTCTCAAAAGTTTAATTGTAAATAAATCTTTCAATTTCTTAAAACGTTAGCATTTAGTTTCTGTTGTTTATTACAGAATACATTATTAGGTACTAAATTTCTAAGTTATCAAAGATAGTTCAATTTAGCAATTAGTTTTTTATGATAAAAATATATTCTTCATTAATTTTATATATTCTTATAATTACAGACAATTGTCTAGAGTGAGTGGTGCAGAAAGTGAATTATCAGAATCTGGTGACATAAGAAGGAGGCTTTCCAAACAGTTTAGTGTGTCTGATATAAAACATGACTTTTCGAAATCTGAAAAAGACAAAATAAATATTAGAAAAGAAAAAAAATCAAAATTAACTGATGCTGAAACTATTGAAGTTGGATCTGTGAGTCTTTTTTTAAAACCTTCCTACATATTATATTAGTTATTTGTCAAAATTTTAACATTTCCATTTAAAATTATTAACAGGTGAAATGGAGTGTATATTTTCAGTATTTTAGAACACTTGGATATTGTGGTATTTTTATAACAGTAATATCATATGCTATTTCAAGTTCTTTTAATATTGCTACAAATGTATGGTTAAGTTTGTGGAGCAATGATGCTTCAGATCCTGAAAAAAGATATGATACAAATCTCAGAGATTTACGACTTGGTGTGTATGGGGGTCTTGGAGCATCAGAAAGTAAGTTTTTTAATAATTCAATGAAAATTGCAGGTTTCAGAGATTAAACAAAAATCATTGTAATAATATTGTATTTTAAAATTACACATATTTAATTTAAGTTACATAAATTTTAATAACAACAAAAATATGATTATACATTTAAAGTTTTATAATTAAGAAAATTCAAATTTATTCTTAATTTTTTAAGAAATATTTTATTTTATTAAATTAATTATAATTTTTCATAAAAATAATTTTTCAATTTGTTAAAAAAGTTCTTTAAAATAAAGAAATAAACTGCTTGTAACTGTATATTTTATAAAACATTTTATTAGTTTTCACTTATCAAAAGCATTCTAAAATTAATTTTAAATTAATATAGTTTTAACACAAAATCCTTTATATTTTAATTAATATTAGTGATCTGAAATTATAATTCATAATATCAAATGTAAAGAAGCAAATGAGTAAAAAATAATTAGAAATAACTCATATTTATTTGAAGTTTGTGTTTTCCAAAGTATCACATGAGAAAAAATATCATGTAATACACACAAATGCACACAGACCACAAACACATGAGATCAACACAAAATTGTCATCAAAATAGTTTTTTTTTTACACAACTACATACAATGCCTTCAGATAATTTTCTGTAAAGCCCATTTCTGTTTTCTTGCAATTTTCTGTTGGTCATAGGTTTTGCCTCACCAACAGGCTGGCTGCATCGAGTACCTAAATAGGGATCAGTTTTCCATAGAAAGTCCTCCTGAAAGGCATCTCCTTGGCAGATTACCTATGTATTGCATTGCAGTATCTCATCAAACTAAACCAAACCATTTTCTGTATAACTATCCAGGAGATCCATTGTTTTTGATTTTACCTCTTCATACAAAATAGGTTTCTTTGGGCACAGACTTGCTCTTTGGGAAGAAGAAAAAGTTTCAGTAAGCAAGATCCAATGAATATGAAAGCAATAAAGTACAGAGATTTGTTTTTATTAATCAAAAACTGCTTTACAGAAAATGCTTTATGGAATGGCTTGTTATCCTGATACAAGATTCACTCGTTTCTTTACCATATTGGCCATTTCCTTCTCACTCACTTGAAGAATTTAGTCAAGATTTTAATATAGTAGTGTTGATTGACAGTCTGGCCAATGAGAACCCAGTTAGCTATCAAAGCATCTTGGATGTAGAAGAAAGCAACTACCTGGGCAATCACATTTTTTATACTTTGCATATTGTGCCTTAAAGTTTTCATGCCAATCAAAAAAATATGTTTGAGATATACAATCTTCACTGTAAATTTCTGTCAATAATTGTAAAGCTTTCTTCATGAATTTCTTCAATTTGATGAGAAAATTGATGTTAACTCTGTTAGGTTTTTGAATCAGACATTTATCACAATAGTATTTCTATACAAAAACATTCATTCATTGCCACTTACAAGTGAGTAAACCTGCCACATCATGAGAGCACAGTTCAAGTTCAAATACCATACTATATATTTGTCCTCTCTCATTATTGACGCCTGAATTATTGAATCAGTCTTATTACTTGTGCTATTTAAGTTGTTAATGATTGATAACAATATGGTTATACAGTAGAACCTCGAAAACTCGGCCTAATGTGGACCGAAGGGTGGCCGAGTTTGTGAAAATGCCGGGTTATCGGGAATGGGGTTAAAAAA